CAAAGTAAAGAAAAGTATTCTGTATTTCTACAAAAAGAATTGTATTGACTACAATAGGTGAAAAAATGCTGGTTTAGCCTGGTTTTGGCTTCTAAAAGCTCTAGTTATAATTTACCACGATAACTCGAGCCCGGGGRGTACTCCGCCAGAATTTGGGTAGGGGTGTTCCGCTGGGATTCTGAAAGGGGTACCCTGTTTATGACAAAAAAACTCAAATTTGTAGACCCTATGACAAAAGATATAATTTATTGCACCGAGTTCCTGTTTCAATTATCATGTCATCTCGCGTATCGTTTTTTTACAACCATAATAACCAGTTTCGGTCAATACAAAAGTAGAAACCCTGAATATGACAGGAAGTTCAGGAAGAACTTGGAACTTAAGTGAAATTGCATACCCTGTTTATGACAAGAAGCTCGAAAAACCATACCCTGTTCAGCGGATCATTCCCGTATAGTCCATATATGCGAGTACCCCCCCCCCCTTCCCCCCCCGGGGACTCGAGCTGCAATTCACTATCCAGTAACGTTTTTCATTTATTTATTCGAAAAAAGTCCAAAAGATCTAAGGAGTAGCAAGTGTATTCATGATTTTTAGAGAAGACACGATATTTTTCTTTATATTTCTCTCATAAACATTTTATCAGTCGAACCATATTTTGAGAATACGTTTCTCAGTTTGTTTTGTTTGTTGAAGAAGAGAATTGATACTTTCCAAACTTGCCCGAATTTTTTTTATGTTGCTGTGTTTTTTCTTTTAGTGTTAAAATGTTTGAATTTTTCGTGCTCTAATAAAACATTTTAAATTAAAGAAAGCATGCATGTGTTCAATACTATCTCATGGTATTTTAATAAACACGGTGTGTGGGGGATTTTCTATTGTTTATCATATCTTTAATTTCATAATTATCTTTTTTTTGCCTCCATGAGTTTAGTCCTAAATTAAGAGAACAATAATATCATATCAGATTGCACGCTATTTTTTGCCAAGTAATAAATTAAACGTTCTTAAATCTTATTTTTATATATTTTCTTATTTTCTTAATTTTTTTACTGCACTCTTTTTTTTTTTCATTTCTCTATATATAATAAGTATTAAGAGGACATTTTTTTCAATAACGAGCAATAATGGCAAAAAGCGCCAAAAACTAGACTTTCGTATGAGCTTTTATCCCAATTTTCGTTTTGGGTTAACACTCAAAACCTTTTTTAAACAGTTAGAAACTGATGTACTATGATAAAATGCCTGTTTGAAGCGGTATTCTTAATTGTACAAAGATGTTTTGTTGCATTTGTGTTAGAATGTTGCTTTTTCAGCCTTTTTTATAGAAAATATATGGAAAATAAGCAAATGAAGGCCTAAACCTCATTTTCGAATAAAATTTTTGCTTTGGGTCAACCCTTTGATTCCACTTTCATCTGTCATCTCCACTTCCAAACAAGTGAAACTTTCTGAATAACAAGATCTTAGCCTTGTACAACAGCCTTTCTTCAAGAAAATAGCTTTCGGCGCTCACTGCTCTAATACGAAAAGAATTCTCTCTTAATTATTTTTGTTCTTTTTTATGATTATTCGGTTTCTCGTATATATCTTTTTAGATATCTCTTTCCTAATTCGAAGTCCCACTTGTTTTTTCTAATTTGTAATGTACGATTTTTATATTTTCACCAACCATTTTTCGATTTCATTTCTAATTTTTGCTTTCTTCTCTCATTATTCCCTTTGTTTATATTTTTTATTCCTATTCTTCATTTTTGTTATCTTATTTCTTGGTTCCAATTAATGCCCACCTTATTTTTCCTTTACATTTCTCCTGTTTTATTTCCGATTTTTCTTTTCGTTTTTTCTCGTTTTTCATATCTTATTACCTATTCCTCAACATCTATTTTTCATATGTGTTATTTTTGACTTCTTCTTCTTCTTTCAAATCCGTCTTATCTTCCTTTTTTYCCCTATAATTTTGAATTTATTTTAAGTTCTTATATTATCAAAACTCATTGTTATAATATATAGTTCAGCGTTTGTATTGCCAAAATTCTCACTGACAAAAAAGCCCTAAATAATAAAGGCTTTATGCTAAACATAGCTAACAAAAGGAAGCTATTTTCGCCCACGGTTTCCTACCTATTATTTCAAACTCTAATATCACCGGTAATTCAGAGTACAATATCTCAAGTTAGCAACTGTTAGCTTCACTTGGGGGTGAAAGGTAATGAACGGATAATTCATACTTTAGCAAATCATTTAGCTTTGCCTAGTCGGTTCATGGTCAACGTAGGTAGACAAAAACACGATAACAACTGTGACGTGAAGCTTGTATAGATCTAATTTTAAATCTTGTAACATCCTATGATTATAGAATATCGAAAACTTACATTGAATAAATAAATAAATGTGTGAGGACAAAGAGGATCAAACTATGGACTTCTTGCTTAGCAGGCAGCATACTAACCATTCAAGCCACACTTGCTCCTTAAAACAAGTGTATAAGGTCACTGAGGATCAAACTAAGGACCTCTTCATTAGCAGGCAGCACACTAACCAACCAATCCACACTTGCTCCTCAAAACAATTGTRTGAGGTTACTGAGGATCAAACTATGGACCTCTAGTGCTTAGCTGGCAGCACACTAACCAACCAAGCCACACTTGCTTCTTAAAACAAGTGTGTGAGGTCACTGAGGATCAAACAATGGACCTCTAGTGCTTAGCTGGCAGCACACTAACCGACCAAGCCACACTTTCTCCTAAAACAAGTGTGTGAGGTTACTGAGGATCAAACTATGGTCCTCTTGCTTAGCAGGCAGCATACTAACCAACCAAGCCACACTTTCTCCTTAAAACAAGTGTGTGAGGTCACTGAGGATCAAACTATGGACCACTTGCCTAGCACTAGAATTTGCTGTATTTAAAAACTGCGCATTTACAAGGAAAGTTTAAGATTAAAAAGCCCAACAATGTTTTCGAAGTTTTAAGGACACAAGAGCTGGAAAAGTAAGAGCAGATCGTTTGCATGAGAAATGGAATCCATTTTTTTCCAAAACCGTGGAAAATTCTTCTTTTCTCTTAGTTAAATCTATTTTTTTTATCGATTAGTACGTACGTTTTTAGCACGTGTCTTTATCTCAACAAGCTTAATAGAACGGATGCCTTGAGACAAAACATGTGATAACACTTTATTAAAACGACGAAACAGAGGTTATCAAAGAAGACTTCGCAATCCGCCCTGTTTTACAAAATATATAATATTATTGAGTTAGAAATCTAATTTCCTAGACAAAAAGAAGTAATAAGTTGCTAATTTTAGAAAAGTGGATATCTTTTTGCTCTCATTATTCTTTAAGGAAACTAGCAGCTGAAAGGTTTTCCGAACGAAAATATGATTGACGTGACTTGCACGTGCCAATGCAAATTCCGAGAAAATGTTAGTGATGACGTGAAATTTGATGTGTTTAAAAAAGGATGTATGTAGTTTGAGAGCTATGTAATTTTGAAGTAAATGATAACGAAAAATAGTTTATTCTGTTTTATTTTATTTGTGTCATATTGACAAATATAACTGAACATAAATTTAAAACTACAAAAATAAATTTGAAATCAAAATAACATTCCGAAGGTAAATATGGTATATACTGTGCTAGCGTTAAATACGATCTATATTATTATTATCAATATTATATAGTGGTATTTTATGTCATTTTTTCAAATTACAAGGGCGTAGTCAGGATTTTCCGGGGGAGGGGGGGAAGGGGGTGGGGAGGTTTTCTTTTTCTCAAATTACAAGGGCGTAGTGAGGATTTTCCTGGGGGGATGGGGTGGGAGGGGTAATTTCATTACGTTTCTTTTTTACGAAAGATAGATTCTAAAGAGCCGCCATTTTGTTAATTGCCACAAAGAGAGGTAAACACGCAAGGTAAATTTATTTCAACTTAACCTAAAATAGTGCTAGTTATTTCTATATTAATTAAAAGCTTTAGGAATAAATCTTAACGAAAGATAACATAGAATCAAAAGATCAAGTTTGATAGACGAGAACTGAAGACAAAGAAATTACGTGAAATTTGGGGGAAGGAGCACTGAAGATAGCCATGATAGTGAAGACAGCAATACACGGAGAAATTTGAGCCTTAATTTAGAACATTAAGCAGAGGAAGATGGTGAAAATTAGACAAATGTAAGTGTGAGAGATATATGATACACACAGGAAAGACTGAAGATTATGAGAAACGGAAAAAAAAAGTCAAATGATAACCAGAAAAACTAGCGAAGATAGGAAAAACGTTCAGAAGATTGTTAAAGACACATGACAAGGAATGAGGAGGAAAGGAAGAGTAAATGAAACGGGGCAGATAAGAGAACGACTAAAGAATATATGCAAAAATATGAAATTATGGAAAGGGTAGGCTAGCTGTGAGGAATGAAAAGATAAAGAATGAAGGAAAGATGAAACATTTTAGAGAAAGAGAAAGAGAAAGAGAAAGAGAAAGAGAAAGAGAAAGAGAAAGAGAAAGATGAAAGCGGAAAATAACAAGATAAGAAAATAACCCGTCGTTCTCGAAGATATTTGAACGAACCAAGTACACTTAAATGGTTTTCACATGGAAGTATGATTGGCCTCCAGGGCGAAATTCTCGTATTTTTTTCCAAAAATTGTAATAAACATTAAAGAACTGGAAAGCTTACCTTGAAGATTTGACAAAGAAACCCACTAAACAACAAAGAAATAATCGAATTCCTAATGCCATATTGAGGGATATAGCAAGCGCGCACTTGGAGTCAGTCAGAAATGTTTTGACCAGAATCTTGGCTAATCCTTTTATGCTCTACTTACTTCCTCTTTTAAAGCCTAATTATTCCCAAAACAGGATTGAAAGAATTTAGATCTTTCTTTTAAGGTGGCTGATAGGGCTGAACTAGACTTTGACTTACAATTTGATGCGCTTTTGTGCCCCCATAAATAGTTTCTGWATTTAAAAATGCTGTCAAAATTCTATCTTTAATTAAGATTAACTTTCTTGGCAGCGACGGAACTATGTGGGATTCTTCAACGTAAAACGTTATCAAAGAGAACAAAACAAGAATTTAAAGCGTGTTTCGTCCCTCCTACTTCTCCAAATGCCCCGTTCTCAGACCATGTCAAAGGTTCATTAAAATCGAAATTTATCGTCATTTTATGTGAACTTGTGACGCAAGTATTCAATACCAATCTATTAAAGACTATCAACAAAGGATAATGCCATATGTTCACTATATATAGGTTCTCACTAAAATCGCCCACATTTTCAGCATTTATTAAAACCAAACTCGATCCAAAATTGAGTAGAGGGGTACTGATGAAATCGTAAGAGAACGATATAAAGGTAGAATCCAGGTTGAGTAATTTACGTCAACGCCATTATCATCATCAGATGAATACCTACTATCTCCTGTTATTCTATAATATGTCGAACCAATTTCTTCATTAATTTCCAAGAGCCTTTCCAAGGCGGAAGTTTCTAGAAAAGGCCACACCCACGTCGAGCATCTGGTACGTCTTGTCGCTTTCAAAAACATGGGTTTTTATCTCCGGCAGGAGAAATCTTTTGCCATCAAAATGGCTGTCTTTTAATTAGGGAAATTTTTTAAGAATTCCCTGTATCACGTCCCTTGGTTTTTAAACTATAGTCGGGTTGATTTAAGTTAAATTTAATTGGCGTTTACCAAGTATAGGCGGATAAAGCCTAAATATCTCAATCATGGGATGAAAAACAACTAGGGAAAAAAAGAGAAAATGACATTTGAAAATGTCAACATAAGGAATATCTTTGGAAATGAATTATTCGTTCTATAAAGTTTAAGGGCTAGATAACAGATTATTTAATACAATTTAATGAATTTTTTTTATTTTTCTATTATTATATATATTTTAAAAAAGTTTCACTTTCAGATGCACTTGAATTACTTGGGATGAAGGTATAGGACTAAGAATGTACCTGTATTAGATTGGATTAACGTAAGTATAGGAAAGCTGGTATACCCATGAATTACATTGATGAGTTTAATGTATAGGAAATAAGAATGTACCTCAATTAGATTGGATGTACATTATGTACTTGAATAAGATTGGATTGTTTCCTGCTAGCAGAGTCTCTCTTCTCTTTCTCTCCCTTCTTTCAGGCGGGGAGGAAGGAGATTTTTCTCTCTCAACCAAAGGAAAATAGGCTCTGCTAGCAGGGAAATTAGATGGACGTATAGAAAAATGAATGTACTGAATCGGATTGAATGGAATATGACGAATGTGCCTGAATTAGATGGAATAAAATAAGAAAGGACCTGAAGTTAGATTACAAAAATTTTGACTGCAGAACGTGGAAAACATGCTAAAAATATTTACGGTGTTAATGCGCATTATTCTCGCTCTGTCCGGCCCCGAGGGGTGGGGTTTTCAAGTGATCACTTTGCGCAACGGTTATTGCTTTAGTTTTATGAACGAACCTTCTATATATCGTTTTATTTGTCATCCAGTTAACTATATTTTTACACTTTAATGCTTCAAATTTCTTCACTTAGTGCACCCACGTCACTCTATTCCTTTAGGCGTACTTTAACCATTTAAAATTTTTCTTAGCCTTTAGCTATATTTTATTATAGGACCGAACTAGGAAGTTTATCATTTAAGATTGACCACTATATCCGTCTTTAATCTACATAAGTAATACTTAGTTTAAATGATTTTCAATTTTCAAATGAGGATTAAATCTTTATTTTTAAAGATCGAGGAAAAAAAAAGATTTGACTCGGTTAAGGTCAATTTTTGAAAATGTTATTAAACGCTACTTAGCTTATAAGCTATTAGTTTTTTTCTACTTTTAACTGCAGTTTATATACCGAAAAATAGTTTCTATGAAAAATTCTCCCGACTTTACAAGCATCAAATTGGCTTTCCCAAGCCCCGTGAACATTTATGCAAATTAGCTTGCGTAAAGCCGTCTAGTGCGAGTTTCAGTTAAACTTCGAAACGGTAGGTTAAAAAAGTTGTGCAAATACCGCTTTATTTTTGCTTGAAATACCTCACTTAGGCTACCCAATGATTTGTCATTATTCTGGGTACAGTTTAAATGAGGAATTTTGGGTTAATGTTTAGTAAGTGCCTAATTTTTCAAAGGCTTTTCAAAGACAGTTTTAGTTGAGCAAAGATTCAACTGAAGTAAACATGGTCAACATGCATATGGAAGCTAACTTTCTTCATTCATCTTTTTGGAATGTCTTATTTCTAAGAAAAGAAACAGTTGGGTACAGTTTGAATGAGGAATTTTGGGTTAATGTTTAGTAAGTGCCTAATTTTTCAAAGGCTTTTCAAAGACAGTTTTAGTTAAGCAAAAATTCAACTGAAGTAAACATGTCTTATTTCTAAGAAAAGAAACTAGAAAAGAAACTTTACATTATGGAGATATTCGACCGGATTTGATTAACAATTTAAGACAATGATTTAGATCAAAAACTGCCGTTTTTTGTAGTGGAATTTTCATGGTACTTTTTAGCTTTTACTGTAAATATATATTCAGTAGGTCAACAAGACTTGATGTCCTAAAGCCCTTAAAGTAAATTGAAGGGTGCGTTTGTCTATTTTCGGATTTTAAGGTCGAAAATTGAAGAATCTCCATCAAAAGTGTGAGATTTTGGACTCATGAGATGAAGTACCACAGGGAACCTATCAAATTTAAAATTGAGGGCGCTATTTTATAGGTATGTTTTGTTTATTTGACACTCAGAATCTCGCAATAATTTTATGTTGGCAGAATCTGGCAATGAAATATATCAGCAGGACAGAAAACTAGATGGTGAAAGAGCCCATCATGGACTTCCTGTAGCAAATAGAGAGCTCGAGGTAGCACAAGAAATATCGTTCAAAGAGTACATGGGATTCCTGTGGCTATATGTACGAAGAGTCCTGGCAAGAGGACCACAGGAATACCATCTTGGGAAATCTTGGGATGACATTCAATCTCGTACCCAGCGTTTTCCGGCGCCTTCCTGTCGTCAGTGCCTGGGACAGCGCCTGGAGTGTCTGGAGCCAAGATCACTGATGGGCTTGATATGGCTTTTAAAATGTAGATTAAGTGGACCTAGGTCAAAGGGTGCCAACACAGGCATACCATCAATGGTAATGAACAAAAATGATGAGTCACTTGCTGAAACAGGAAGTTTCACATCACAGGCACGGTAAACAGAGTCTGTTTTTCTTTATCTCTGTCTGTCTGTCTGTCTGTCTGTCNTGTTTGATTGCTGTTTGTTGTTGTTGTTGTTGTTGTTGTTTTGTTTTGTTTTTGTTTTGTTTGTTTTTGTTTTGTTTGTTTTTTGTTATTTGTTATTTGTTTTTTGTTTTTTTGTTGTTTTTTTTGTTTGTCTGTTTGTTTCTCTCTCTCTCTCTCTCTCTCTCTCTCTCTCTCTTTCTTTCTTTTTTTCTTTCTTTCTTTCTTGTCACAATCTGTCTGTCTGTCAGTCTGTTTGTGTGTCGGTCTGTCTTTCTGTCCGTCTTTTTCCATTTTCTTTGTTACTAGGATAAATATCAAATAATGCTCACAATTCACTGATTCTGAGTATGTCTTGATGAACGGGATTTGAACCCGTGTCTGGCGATTCCGGTGCCATGCTCTAACTACTGAGCTACCAAGTCTCATAGAATAGTGTTGAGTGTGTGTTTGTGTTTTTTTATTTATTGTGTGTTGTTTTGGTCAAGAATATTTTACGTCCTGTGTGAGTCAAGGTTTATTTCTCCTTGACCCTGATCTTAGGCTGTCGGCCACCCTGTGGTGCGTGAGTTCACTTGCAATATGACACCTATGAATACCCTGAGCCAACTCATTTATTACTAGTTAGTCATTACRACTAAACCGTATTCTCACACTCATATCCTCACACTCTGAAACTATGTTTAAAAAGCACAGAAATTATTTAGACTAAAGAAAAGTTATCAAGATTTCAAAATATAAATTGCCCAATATTTAAACTAAGTAAAGCTGTAAATCGAGTCAAAACAGCGGCAGCCGCGACCGAGGTCGTAGACGAATTTAAACCTGCTCTGATTGGACAATATTATTGACATGTATCTTTCAGTGTATCATCTGTTATAATGCAGGGGCTAGCGGCGTCAATCCGTACCAGTCTCGAGTATACTTCTTACAGTATTCTCTCTGTACCTCCTCGCCCCTGTTACAAGACTTGCTTCAAGACCTTGTGAATGTAGCACAGCTTTTTAGCGTTTCGTGGACATTTACAGGTAAGTTGCGCAGAAATACTTAATATAAAAGTTTGTGCTTGGAGTRTAGAGTGTTTTAATGCTTGCAAGCATGCACAGGAATGTATGAATGAACTTTGTGTACGGTGCAATGCGAGCCAAGCTCCAAGAGCTCTTCAATACTACAACACCAAATATTCTTAAAAACGCTTCCCAGCACTTGCGCTAGTCGAACAAACTTAATACCGAGCTCTGTTAGCCAATTCCAACTTTTTAAAATGAATTAAATTGGCAATATTATACAAATTATTTTGAAAGTGCGTATGTTGAGATCACTACGAAATCCCTTGGAATAGCGCGCGTCTTAACTCTCACTCTTTYTCTGCCTCGTAACTTTATCCAAATTTTGGAGCTCGAATCATTAAGGATGATGCTCAAAAAGCGTATTGTTTGATCTTGTAATGTTTAAAGACTTTTGCCTTGTAATTTGCATTTTGAAGTGGATTTTAACAGAACTATCTATCGTTCCTTTGTTGCCAATACCCTTCAATGAAAGACAGTTTTAGTCTTGCACAACACATTGTCGCGTACGATATTCATATAATTGATCATTTTTTGTTATAAGTGTTTTTAAATTTGAAAAAGATTTTTAAAGTCTACCTACCTAAGTTCACAATTTCAAATCTAAATT